TATCTTTTGTTGAGAACGTCTTTGATTCATTTGGACGAAATCACACCCAGGATGAAAATGATTGAGATGAGTAATTATTGAGAAAAAAAAGCAACTTTGTTCCAGGTCTCGTTGCTATGGTAACACATTATGCTTATGCCGTCTCTATTTGAGGCAAACATAGTGGGAGGAGAGTGCACGGGGAGGGTCAACACCCCCATTTGCAGATCGGAATGCTGGCCAGTGTTTTGGAGAGTGCTGCAGGAATGATTCCTTAACACCTGGAAATGAGTCAGCATTTTTGCGCTTCCGGTCCCTCGTCTCAAAGTCAATGGTCGCTTTGAATGGGTTTTTGGTGAGAAGCCTGAAATAAGGTCCGTAGTTTAAACAAGCTTAAGAGATTTTAACGTTTTGTTCTATGATATAAAATACATCAGAAATACTCAAAATATTTTTGCTTTTACGTTTCTTAAAAAAGGCATTTGCTAACTAGTGGATAAATGACTCTACTGAACATTATCACGCCAACTAGTCGGCCCTTACAGCCTCGTTGTTGCGATTATGTGACCGTAGTGTAGTTGTTTAATAGCCCAAAATCATTAAAGTGGCATTTATTTGTAAAGATTTTCTTGCTAAAGAAGTTAGTTTATTTTCTGCAATAATCCACAGTGAGATGCTAACTTTCGGGGTTGGGATTCAAAGATACATCACCCCTTCAGCACTCTGTTGGTGACTGGATTATATGTTCTATATGTTTATGGTGCCGTCGCTGCTGTCTGGTTCTGAGCATGCCCAGTGAGCAATTGATTATGAATGAAGGCTGATGACATCTGAAGCTGCTGGAAAGGAGGGGGATCTGCAGGGCTTTGTTGGCTGGTCTCAGATCTGTTTTCAGTACTTTCTCTTAAAAACAATGACTTAAACTCGCCCAAACCGGTAAACAGCAGCAACTACCACGAGTCCTGCCCTGCTGCTGCTGGAAGTCAGGTTGTGACTAAAATGTATCCAGATTGAAGGAATCAGCCCTTTGCTTTACTCCTCCCCCATCTCCTCCCCCCACTTGCCTCCTCTCTGTGGTGTAACCTCACCTGACCAGCACAAAGCATGAGCGCCCAGTCTGAAACAAAGGTGCCAGTTTCCTGAACCCATAACTCACTTCCCTTCCACCATTAGCGCTCATACACTATTAGCTAACCACTAGCACTGTATGTATGCAGTGATACTGTATTAATTATCTCAGTGCATAGAGTATCACTCCAACAGACCTAAAGGTGCTACAAATTAAACCATTTAACATTTTACAAATAGTGATTGCTTTATGGTAAAAGGCAAAAGGCCATGATTTTAGAGAGAATGTGTTCAATGTTGCTGTTTTAAACTGTGTAGACTAGCCTCATCATCATCACACTAAAGTATTGAAATTAACTGAAGTGATATACACATGCCTAGGTTTGAGGTAATTCAGAAACAGTGTCACCATTACATAGTTTGTGCACCAGATAGCATTTTTTAAGTTGATTGATATGTCCCACTTAGTGCATGTATCTTGGTCAAAATTACAGAATATCTGTATCAATATTGTCTGGTTATAGAATGTGTTTTATTTTAAACAAAATGACTGGCTGATATAAAATCTGATTTTAAAAATCCCAAATATCAATATCAGTATCGGCCTTTAAAAATGTCGGTATCAGTTAGCTATACTTTTAAATGAAAGAGTCAGTTTGACTCAACATCAAGTGCATTTATCAATAAGTATCCCAGGTTCCTTGAAATGTGGGTTTTTAATTTACAATCGCACACCTTATAATAACTTAGATCCTCTTTGCTTTTGCCTTCTTGTGGATCAAGGTGAGAGGAGCAGAGTGTGTGATGAAGCCATGTCAGCCCTACCATATGCTTATTCTAATTCATTAGAATTCATTTAGCTGTGACGCCTATTTAACTATCTCACCTCTGTGATTGGTGCAGTGTCCCAGTTCACCTAAAAGTCATGCTGCAAGATAACAAGGACATTACAATGGAAACAATCCTGCAGTGAACTCGAGTCCACAAATGGTTGTTTTACAGACAATAATTTCACGCAAGTGCTGTTTACATGTTTGGACACGCATTTTGACAAAACTATGGCTTCATTTTGAAAATGTTTGTGCAGTGCAGTTGTAAATAAAAGTTGAAATGAAGACAAGTTCAGAACTATTTCATGCTTGATTTAACCATTGGCAAAGCATTTAATTTAAACATTCTGACAACAGCTTGAGTATAAGTATTGCAGATAACCCTATTCCTATTCAGTCCACACACATAGGCTCACTCACACCAGTGGATGCAAACACTACAGGGTCACCTTTAATGTTCCTCTAAACTCCCCTGTAGACTCGTTCCTTTACTGTTTACTGGTTTAACCACTGACTCTGTCTTTCTTTTTGTCTCCTTTTTCCCCACTTCACCGCTGGCTGCATCTTAACCGTTTAACAGTGGAGAGAGGTGGGAGTCAGCTTCAGACTAATTCCACATTTGTGTGTTTGTTTTCAAGTGTGTTAGAGGGAGTAACAGCAAGCAGCATACTGTATGTGTGTGTGTGCAGCATTTTTACTGTAACATAAGTGTGCATGCATCAGCTGTCTTAAAGTGTGGGTGTGATGTACGTTCTTGAATATCGAAGATCGAAAAGCCTGGCGAGGTGGCTCAGTTTGTCAGGCTCCGGGGAATATGATTAGTATTCACTGTAACAACGCTATCACACTTTCACTCCTGCCAAAACTTAAGTCTCCTTTTGTCCTCCTTCCAGCTGCTACCCCTTGGAAAAAAAAATCAGGTATGCTCTGGTACACTCTCGCTCAAGGCATTGTATTAATGTCTCTCCAAAATGACTTGGCACTCACCGCTCAGTCACTTATTCTGAGTTTCTTTTCTTTTAGAATTCGAATCCTCACAAGTTACAGAGAAGAAGAGGACAGTCTATCAGATGGCTTTGAGTAAGGGAGCTCATGTTTGTCAGTGGATGTTTACTCAATCTCTTTCTCTCTTTCTTATCCACGTTCATCAAATGTGCCCCTTTCCCCTTTTTTCCTTAATTTTGTCACTGTCCATTTTTCTGTTTCATTGCCGTGTGTCCCTTTCTTTTTTTCTCTCTCTCTCTGTCTTTTCTACTCTCAGATAAACTAGATGAAATTCTTGCAGCAGCTCAGCAGACAATCAGCACCAATGAGGCACCAGGGACACGGGGACAGGGGCCAAAAAGAGACAGAGGACGAAGTTTCTATGGCAATGAGGTGTGTATCGTGAAACACACTACCACTATGTGTCCTGAGATATGTGTGTGCTCCTGTGTTTGATTTGTCCCCACATACCTACATCAAAAAGTTAAAGATCCCCATTTACTGAGACCCATAGATTTGCATATACATACACATAAGCCAGGTATTATCACCTGGCCTGTTATGAACACATGAACCAACGTTAGGTCAACACAAGAGATGTTTTTCTCATTTCTGTTGAGCAGAATGTGTTATACAAAGATTTGTAATATGCTGTTATATA